TATCTTTAAAGATAGATAACCCACAACTTCTACAGGGAAACTGTTCCACTTTATACAAATCGTATGATCAGATGTATTAAACATCTAAATAGCTGCAAATAATGCCCAATATTATTAGTCTTAGTTTTTCTGTCTATAGAAAATAGTTGTTGGCCATCTTCCCTGTAGATTTTTCTTGAAAACTTGGAAAAACCATTTTCTCTTCAACCGTGTTTGTTCTTGACTGAACATCCCAGATTAATTTTGCCTATTGGGCATTAGGCATCTCTTCAGGTATCTGTATGATTTCTGATGACTTCTTCCAACCTGGCAATATCTTTTGGAAATGTGGTGCCCAGAATGGTCCTACAAATGTGTTCTTGCCAGAATCAAGTAGAAAGGAATAATGACCTCGTGTGACTGTTACAACTAGCAAAGTTTGCCACAAGAAGCAAGGCAGAACCTGTGGGCATGGATCTAGTTGCAAAGTTTTGTAACCGCAAGAACTCAGAAGCAATAGAAATAGGATCTTTGAGGTGCTAAAATTAACAAAGGTATAAGATACTTTTAGTAGAGATCAGAGGAAGAAATGGGGATTACTTTGTAGACAGTGTTGGTCCAGCAAGGAGTATAGGAGGAAGAAATAAAGTTCGGAGTTTGAAAAAAGTATTACAAATGAGGTGAAAGTGGAAGTCTCAGATTTTGCACACAAAGAGATATATACACAGATGTAGGGGGAAAAAGATTAGCCCTGGAAAAGACAATTGAAGGAGTTAAAGGAAATATGGGACAAAATTTTCAAGTTAAAGAAGAAGACTCCTCATAAATAAGTCATAAAAGGAAGAAAGCATGGATCTTTCTTAGCTAATCCACTACGATTCCACTCCCTGCAGCTACAAGAATGCAAAAGGACAGATCATCTGGCATGCTCAGCCAATGGGAAGAAAAAGGGGCTGGCAAGAATCCTCAACAACGGGATCACTCAATAGATTTGGTTAGGTGAGAACTGTGGCTTACAGGGCCAAGAGAATAGAGCTGGACTGCATTCAGATGGACTAGGATTTTAAAAGGTCCAATCCTTGAAGGAAGATCAATATGCCAGAAAGAGAAGTGTGGTGTGGTATGTGCGGGGGAACACAGCTATGTTGTTCTCTGTGCAGAGACCTTAGGCATTTTGCAAGGGAGCAAAGACATTTGGTCTGACTTAATATGCATTGTGCTTTTGTAATATACAGTGTCTTTAAGGAAATTGCTCAGTTCGTTGTGTAAGAATTACTGTCTCTGACCAAACCACTCAAGATTAGAAGTTGGACTCATGGCCCATTAAGTTCAATTAACCACCGTGGGTTACATTTTTCCTTGCAGAGTGCTGTTTTAGTTTCTTAATGCAAGAAATAAAATAAAGCTGTTTATGTCTGTTCATAAGTAGCATTTTATATTTTTCTTCTTGTCTCTGTGGAAGAAGCCATTTTCCACCACTGCCAACCACCTCAG